AAAAAAAAAAAAAAAAAAAAATTCAAATAATAACACATGTTGGTGAGCATGTGGAGAAAAAGGAACACTGTTGGTGGGAATGTTAACTATAGTTAACTATAGAAAACAGTATGGAGATTTCTCAAATAATTAAAAACAGAACTACCATTTGACCCAACAATGCCGCTGCTAGATATCTACCCAAAGGAAAAGAAGTTGTTATATAAAAAAGATTCCTACATCCATATGTTTATCACAGCAGTATTCACAATAGCAAAGAAATGAAATTAACCTTGTCCAACAAGGATGATCGAATAAAGAAAATATGGTATATACATACATACGTATACACACACAAACACAGAGACACATATGTTTATATGCACACACCATGGAATACTACCCAGCCATAATACAGAATGAAATTATGTCTCCTGCAGCAACATGGATGGAAATGGAGGCCATTATCTTAAGTGAAATAACTCAGAAACAGAAAGTCAAATACCACTTGTTCTCTCCCTTATGATTGGGAGCTATATCATGTATATACATTGACATAGAGTGTGGGAATAATAGACACTGGAGACTTGAAATGGTGGGAGAGTGGGAGGGGATTGAGGTATGAGAAATTACTTAATGGGTACAGTGTACATTATTTGGGTGATAGGAACACAAAAAGTCTAGATTTCACTGCTACATATTATATCCATGTAATAAAACTGCACTTGTACCCCCTAAATCTGAAAAAAAAATGTGAAGTGATTGTGTTTTAAATGAGTAAATCATTTAATTGTAATTACATAAACCTAACTAATATTTACCATGAACTTTTTGTCCAAGTGGCTCTTACTAATGATCTACCAAGGGAGAATTCTGTACCAGAGAATTTCTTTTTTTTTTTTTTTCTTTTGAATTGTTGGTTTTTATTTATTTTATTATTTTTTTTAATATATATTTTTCATTGCACTTTAGGTTCTGGGGTACATGGATACATGTGCTGATCATGCAGGATTGTTGCATAGTTGTAACAGAGAATTTCAAAGCCCATTATCTAATTTACTTCTTGACTTGCAAGTAGGTCACTTTCCAACCTGTTCTTGACACTGTACTTAGTGGATTCCAATTCTAACAGATATGATAATTGCCATGGTAGCAGGTTTAGAAAACCTGTGTGCACGCAGTGTGTTCTTATACACTTCCCAACCTATTTCCCTGTTTATTACAACAACATGCTACTCACTGAAAATTTCCACAGGCCCCCAATGTCATTGCTCTTCTCAAAGCAGGTGGGCTCCAGCCCTTCCTCCAGACAGCATCTGATGGAGGCCAAGCCACTCACGCCAGCTCCAATGATGGCCACTTTCTTCCCCATGGTCACCTGTGCAAAGGCCCAGAGAACAATTCCAGCAATAACATTACTGAAACATTATTACCTATTTATCTATTTATTTTGATTTCATTCTTTGGCTTTATAAAACTTTACTTTTTAAGAAACACTGGCTGAGTATGATAGCTCATGCCTGTAATCGCAGCATTTTGGGAGGCTGAAATGGGAGGATCACTTGAGCCCAGGAGTTTGAAACCAACCTGGACAACAAACAGCCTGTCTCTACAAAAAAAAAAAAAAAAAAAAAAGTCAGCTGGTGCGTGGCACATGTCTGTAGTTCCAGCTACTCAGGAGGCTAAGGCAGGAGGATCCCTTGAGTTTAGGAGTTCCAGGCTACAGTGAGCCATGATTGTACCACTGCACTCCAGCCAGGGTGACAGAGTAAGAACTTATGTCTAGAAAACAAACAAACTCCTTTAGTAATCTAACTGCATTTTCATTTATCTCTAATTTCTAAAGAGAAAGTTTTCTTCTGAAGAAAATAAGCACTTTGTTTTTAGTCATCAGCTTTCCAAAATTAAGAGACTGATGACATAGTATACATATTTATCCTTTTTGCTTTTGGACTTGTAATTTACTGTCTACAAAAATGAGTAAGCAGAATAAATAAAAGAAGATTCACAACTAAAACACATGTAGACACATCCACCCACCCACCCACCCATATACATATGCATGTATATGGGAATGAAGAAACAAATATATATGTATGTATATTTGTTTACAAACATATACATTCTGTACCTTCTTTCTATTTTGATACAGATAATGAGGAACAAGATCTGAGGTTGTCTGTATTTCAGTGTGCCAGTAGTCCCAGCTATTCAGGAGGCTAAGGTGGGAGGATCACTTGAATTTAGGAGTTCTCCCCACCAGTAGTCCCAACTACTCTGGGGCTATATATTCCTGTTTAGGCAGGAGTATCGCTTATGCCCAAAAGTTTGAGGCTGTGGTGAGCTATGGTTGTGCCACTGCACTCTAGCCTAGGTGACAGAGTAAGATCTTATCTCAGTGAAAAAAAAAGTCAAGTTCTTACCTAAAAATAATCTTTTCCCACTACCTTCAACCTCCTTTCTCCTCTAAGAAAATTACATTTCCTAACTTTTTTCTGTTCCTGACACTGTCTTTAGGTTCTACTACTACTTCTCTCACTTTTTTTTTCTTTTTAGACAAAATCACATAACTATGCAAAGAAATAGACTTGGATGATAAAAATCATGATCCATGATTCCCAGACAAACTGCCTGAATTATGTCACTCTTATTCTAGCCATATTCAATGTAAAACTACAGCATGCTCCTCCTTCATTAACCCATCCCATCCTCAGCCCTTTACTGTATCACCCTTTCTCCCTCCCTCCCTTCCTTTTTCTCTCTCTTTTTCTTTCCTTTTTTCTCTCTTTCTTTTCTTTCTCTCCCCTGCCTCCCTCCCTCCCTCCCTCCCTCCGTCGTCTTTTCTCCTTTTCTTGAGATGGAGTTCTGCTTTTGTTGTATAGGCTGGAGTGCAGTGGTGCCATCTCAGCTCACTGCAACCTCTGCCTCCCAGGTTCAAGTGATTCTCCTGCCTCAGCCTCCCAAGTACCTGAAATTACAGGCACACATTACCATTCCTGGTTAATTTTTGTATTTTTAGTAGAGACTGGGTTTCACCATGTTGGCCAGGCTGGTCTCCTACTCCTGACTTCAGATGATCCACCCACGTCAGCCTCCCACCTTTTCTATTTTCCTACCCGTTCTTTATCTTCTTTTCTTCTGTATGTCTATGTCCTGCCCAACTGCCTGGGCAGTTTGAAAGAGAAAATGCTCTAGTGAGCCCACACATTAGCAAGATTGTTGGAAAATGGGAGGAGCTGCTCTTAAAGAGATAGTCATTTCTTGGTCCTCAAATGGGTGAGCACCAACTCTCTGTGATGGGTGGGACTCTAGACCAGTCTCCCATGGCCACCCAGTTTCTGCTTTTCTTTTGGTTATAGTAAACACAAGCTGCTGTTTATACTCTTGGACCCTTGCCCTCAGAGTCAAGAAGTTTCTCCCAAGCAGTTCTCTACTCCATTTCATTATGTGTTATTTCAAAGTTTATGTTGTTTTCCTTATTCCTATTTTGTGGGTACCTCATATTAGCCTCCAAATACTGTAGAAACTTACCTACTTAGTTGAGATAGCCCAGTAGGGAGGATGACTTTCTCTGCTCTTTTTATGTTCTGCCTTTGGAATTTTGGGGTCAAAGACCTGTATTTCTCAAGCTTGTATTTATTTGTTTCTGAAGAAAATGTGTTGTCAGGGAAAAGGTCAAATTTCATAAATTGATCTATTCGTACCAGGTACCAGGTAAAATTAGTACCAGGTAAAATCATGTTGGCAGTAAAACAAAATAGACTGCACCTAACTCTCAGTCATGACATATAGTGAAATTTCAAAAAATTGTTCTCCTATATTTCTATGTCACTTAGAATTATGACATGTCACTCATTTTATCTAGCTAACCCTTTCATTAGGGAGGTGATACTTAATGTAAACTGGTATATGTCTAATTTTGAGGAATTACCCTTTATGCCTTTTGAAGACAGTAATCTTCATCTCTAAAGTGTGAGTATGAGAGATTTCAAATCACTTGTAAAGCTCTGTGGCTTTGGGCAAGTCACTTAACCTTTCCAATTCTTGGTTTACTCAATAAAATGGGGATAACTACACTATTACCCTTTGTCTGGCTATTTTTTTTTTAACAAGGATTAGAAGATGGCATGTAGTTAAAAATGAGCAAATATAACTTGTAGAAAAAAATTAAAAACAAGTCATAGGTTCATGAAATTTTCTAGGGCTGCAATTCAGATGACATGATTTTCCCTGCTCTCATTTTACATAGAACTCCTTTTCAGTTTTTAATGCTACATAAATAGCATTAAAATAGTGCAAAGAAAAGATTGTGAATACTTTAGGAAGCAATACTATTCCTATAGCCTTATTAATTTAAGGACAGGCGGGACACACCCAATTCCTCCTTGGCCTCTGATGTTTTATCTCTCTAGGAGGTGAAAAGGCCGCCTGTTCTTTGCTAGAATATATTTTATCTGTAGTAGACACATTTGTTAGTCCTGTCTCCTTTCAGCCTATCCTTTGATTGCCACAGCTTTCTGCAGAGCCCCTTTGTAAATCTTCAGAGTCTCAAATACCCAAGCTCTGGTTGAGGGAGTGGACATTCTCTATTGTTCCCTCTGAATCACAAAACTAAGAAGCTTTCATCCCTGGATGGCTAGATTATTGTTGCTGTTGGAGGATATGAGTGGAAGACTTCACATTTTGTCGTCTTGCTCTAGATTTTCTTTGTATTTTAAAGAAATTTTTGTTTTCTTCTAATTGACTTACTAGAGGCAAGACATACTGTGACACCTGTTGTCATGTCTGATGATGCATAATAATTGAAAGATTTCTGTAAAATGATAGTGGCTTTTGGAGACTCATGCTTGATCATGAAAGCTACGATGGAACATTCCAAAGATTTGGCCTCTTTGGGGTCCGTATTCTGAAGCTAATATCTCATAAAGAGTCAAGTGAACAACAATTGGTGCAGGCAGTGCTAAATGAAGCTGACAGTCTGTTGTACCTTCTGCTACAAATTTAAAAAGTATCCCAAACTTTTGTAGTTTCATAGCCAGAGGAATGCTGTGTTTATTTTCAAAGATATATTTTTTCATATGTTTTTAGCTATCTTTGTCATTTATGTGTGGGCTCTAAGTCACTGATGTAAACTTATGTAAAATGTTTTATTTAATGGGCTTGTCAATTGTTAATTTCAATAATGATGGTGTTGATAAAAATAATTTCAGTTTAAAGATAAAAGATATATGCTGTTTGAGCAGGTGATTTTACTTAGGAATATATTTTATAAAAATACAAATATAAGCATGCTTGAACAAATTATATAAAAAACTTTATTTTGGTATTGTTCAAAGTGTCAAAAATGAGACAGAATGCATGCTTTTTGTTAGAGAAATGAATAAATTACTCTGTGTAAATTAAACAGATAGCTTGAAGAAATACCCCATTAAAATAATGGAAAGGAAAAAAGCAACATGCAAAAAAGTTCTTATAGTATGATCCTTATTTCAAAAATAATAATGATTTAAAAGAATTTTTCTCATCCTCAGAAGAAATTATTTCTTCTATTACCATGAGGCCTGGTGGTAAGGCTTGAGGCCCCAACTCCGTCCACTGTGCTTTTTCCACAACATTCAAATACGTAATGATCTTTTGTCCAAATCATCCACTCTTTCTTTCCCATTGAGGGTAACATAGGATCTCTTAGATTCTTCTGTAGTTTTGTATCTTCCAAATGATTAGCGTGTTTGTTAGATGGCATTAAGAGAGCATCTACCAGTCTACATTTCTATAAAACTGCGAGCAGTTGGTTTCTACTCATACAATCACTTAAACCATCATTGGCAACAACCAGGCTCTCCTCTTCAGCTCAGACCAGATTCAGATTCTCACCCTGTAGGTGTTTTGTTCTTCACTAGCCTCTCCACTCTAGCACCTGAAAGCCATCTCAGAGATTTGCACACAACTTTCCCTGGGCATGGCCATGTTGGAGAAAAGCAGCAGATATTTGTTTATAGGAGACCTAGTGTATTTGTAAGCTAGTTTTATTAGCTTGACCTTAAAGGTACTGGAAGAGATTCAAATGTTCTTTGATCTTTTCACCAGAGAACAACAAGAAACAATTTGTTCAAGTACATAACTTAGCATTTTCTGGTATGATGAAAATTAAAGTTGTTACATAATTTCTATTTCATAGTAAAAAGATTTTTTTCTTTTATTCTTAGGAATTACTTCAACTCAAAGAAGTCCTTGTTTACTTTGACATCTGAAATTTCACTCTGTTCATTAGCTACAGTTCCTTAGTTATCATTATCATTCCATAAATTTTTCTTTCTGAAAATGGATGAGAGTTCTTATAGAGTATAGGAGTCATGTCTTGTAGTCTAACTTGGATCTTCCTCAGCACTCAGCACAATGGCCTATGAATAAATAATTTATCACAAAATCATTTACTCAATGGTCAGAAGTTTTAAAAGTGAGCCCTATTTTAGAATAGGAAGCCTACTACAGAGAAGAATACTATGATTTTTAATAGTTTCTCTACAGTCAGGCCCACTTAAATTCATAAAACATTGACAAATACTGTTGTACTGCTTCTCATTGACCTTTACCTTCTTGATAACATTAACCAGTATATCTTTGCTAGGGATTATGACTAGACCTGGGATAAAAAGAAGATAACAAAACTACTGACTTTTCAAGTGGAGACCTCATATTCCTGGCAAATCGATCTTGACAATAAAAGATAAACATTAATTAAACAATGAGATGAATGAATAAAAAGTAGAAAAAATGTATGTGTAATCTTCACAATGAAACTTATTACCAGAAAAAATCTTGTTGGTCTTTTTAGTGGGCATCAAACCAGTTAATTATTCATAAAATTCAGACATGAGCAGAATGTCCAGGTTAAAATCTAGCTAGTGCCAAGATTGACAAATTCCTCAATACTAAAAGCCAGGAATATGACTGAGGTATGCTTGTGAATAACGCGATGGGACTTAACACATGGGCAAGGGTTAAGGTAGGAGAGAAAATGAAGACAGAGAAAAGTCAAAGGAGAATAATTTAGCATCAGGCAGACCTAATTTGAAACTCGCCTCGAGTGTGTATCAGCTGCATGAACTTGAGAAGTTATTTCATTTCTTAAACTTGCTTTGTAAAAAAAATCTGTAACGTAGGGATACTGTAGAAGGTGGTCACAAGAATAAATTAGCTGATAAATATGAAACAGTAAGGTTCTATTTGGCAGAGAGTATTTTTGCACACAGGCTCATTTAGTGGCAAAGCACGATCTCCCTGGAAGAAAGCACAGCTGGTAAGAAAAATATTGGCACAAAAATATACATTTCTACTTCAGAGAAGCTTTTGTAGGTTAAAGCAGTCTGTTTCACAGCTTTTAGCAGACGTAAGAAAAGTAGCTGTAGAAATTAAGAGATGAATTACTTAAAGTGGACTTTGTTCAGTCACTTAAACCAAAGCTAAACCAAATCTGTATTGTCCGGAAACATGCTTGAGAACAGTGGTTCTTAAATAGCGAACAGCAAGCTAACGTGAATGGATTACAAATGAAAACAAAACAAGTTACCATTACCAGGCCTTATCCTGAGCCTACTGGGTCAAAAATGAAGGGAGAAGCCCAGAAATGAGTCACTTCCCCTGAACACTCTCCCCACTTACCTCCACTCAAAGAAAGCAAAAAACTTCCCTCACCGCAAGAATGGCTGAGTTTACAAATGAAGAGAGTCCAGTGTGCAAACTAGACGAAACCACACCAGATTTGGTACCCTTGATCACATGGGCTAGGGGTTCAGACTACATTGACTAATTCCTCAACAAAGAGTAACTGGACATTTATATCAGCATTCTGCTTCATGTTTTTTGGAGCAATGCTACTTACATTTATGCTTAACTTAGCTGTAGTGAAGGCCATCTGGTTTTTATTCCAGAGGGTGTATTTGAGGTACTCTTAAATGCTTGTGTGACTTGCATGAAGTTTAGAATTTAAAAGTTGCTTCTGCCACCTATTGGATATTTGACCTTAGGTAAATCATTTAATCTTTCTGGGCTTCCATTTTCTCTTTCATAAGATGAAGATATTAATATTGGCAACCTGATAGGATTGTGTTACAGTAGTAAATTCTTACATTAAATGAATCCTGTCTATTACACTCAGGATCCAGAAATTTCAAATAGACAAAACTCAGGAAAACAATGTTATTTATATAATACTGATTAACAAAGCTTGTTTCCATCTAGAAATGCAATAAACTATAGAACCACTTTGTGCAGAACTTGTCATAAAATAGGTTCTCAGAAATGCCAGTTTTCTCTCTGATTCTCTCTCCCTAACTTACGGCAGCTTTCTCTGTACTACCTGGCTTGTTATTTTTTGCATTGCATTATTATGATCTCTTGTATTATTACTTAATTTTCTATGTGTGCCTTGTTTTTCCAGTAGCCTTTAAAATTCTTTGAAGAAAGGAAATTCATGGTACTGTTCATGGTACTATTGCTAATGCCAAGCACTGAGCATTCCTAGTGCTAATCCCAAAAAAGTGCTCAATAAAAATCTCAATTGATTAAGGATAGAAATACTAAAAGAGAGTTAATCTATGAGATACAGAGTATCACTAATGCTAGAAATGTTTAGTCTCTCCCCACAGCTGGGTTTTGGGTCCTGCAACATCCCAGCTTCATTACTCAAACTTGGTTTATATAATAATTTAATTAAAATGCATATATATATTTTGAAGGTATATTTGAAAATAATTTATGTAATGAAAATATTTTTAAGTGATACATATTTGAAGCTAAAGTTAAGTTACATAGATTGGAACCAGGTGTGTAAATTGGCAGACACCCCTTAATATCCCCTGGCAATTGAGTGCTGTAAAAGTGTATTAGGGAGCCGAATCAAATACCTTATTTCAGAAATAGGAAGAGCTGGATTATAAAGAATAATTCAACTAATGGCTAAGAATTTTAATTTCTGAAATGTCTTTTTGTTTTAGTCAGACTACCACAATAGATAGCTGAAAAAATAAAAAAAAAAAAAAAAGTATCAGGTGAGTATACATAACACTTGGATGGTATTATTTCTATTTTCTGGCCTTCTCTGGTTTTCACATCCCTGGTCCTAACCCATTTCCTGCTGCATTATATATATTCTGAAGTCAGAGTTGTAGTACTTAATATGTACTTCTGTTCCCTGCTAATACTATTCTGGGATATCAAAATAAAACTTGTCTCTAACCATAATTGTTGACTTTCTAACTTATGAGAATATCCGGTAGGCTTTATCCAGATATTCCATTGCGAGTTTAAGAGTCTAGAATTGTGCTACTCTTTATCATTTAACAATGTGCCAGGTAAAGATATCACCACAATAAAAGTAATCATAGCAAATTTCAAATTAGAGATATAGTAATGTAGTTGACTGAATACTGGAAGTTAGAGTTAAAAGATGTAACTGTCCCCACTAGCTATTTTGCTAATCATGAACAAGTCACTTGGAATCTCTAGACTTCAGTTTCCTTATCAATTACAAATCAGGCTATTGTTGTGAGAATGAAATAAGATATCATATGCAAGATATTTAAAATGGAAAGGCACTAGGGACAGTACCGTGGTATTAGCTGAGGAATCTGCATGCGGGGTCCTGGGATTGCTCTGTGACAGGCGTGGAAGAGCCATTTGAGATATTTATTCTGGGTTTTTAATGCTCTTTGACAGGACTGTAGCCTTGACATAAACATAGAATGTGTACATGGTCAAGAGAAATGAATAGAAAGAACTTTCAGGATGAAAAATAAAAAGTGTGAAAATGTAAGAGGTATTGACATTGATCTAAGAAAGCATGCCAGATTTTTCATAGGTTAGTGATACATGGATCTGCAATAGTGTATGATTACTATTGAACAGTGAGAACACATGGACACAGGTAGGAAAGCATCACACATTGGGGTCTGTTGGGGGGGCTAGGGGAGGGACAGCAGGGGGTGCAGAGGTTGGGGGGAGATAACATGGGGAAAAATGCCAGATATAGGTGATGGGGGGATGGAGGCAGCAAACCACCTTACCATGTACGTAACTATGCAACAATCCTGCATGATCTGCACATGTACCCCAGAACCTAAAGTACAATTAAAAAAAAATTTAAACCAAAATCTCATTTCTTGGTTGTAAAGATTTTTGCATTATAAATATACATAAGAGATCAATAAAACACCACATATATAATCTAAAAACTCCAAGTTTGCAGCTAATCTTCCTTTCTGATTTTAAAACATTTCTAACATAATGGTTCAGTTAAATTATATCTACATCTTTAAGCTGCTGTCTATACTGCAGATAAAATGTGATTCATATGTAGTCGCTACTGAGAAAACTGAGTATAAGGAACTATTAATAGAAGCATGAAATGTTTTTATAAGTTTTAAGAAAAATTAGGAACTGGATTAAGAGCTGAAAAGGAGAGACCTTGAAGAATGTGCCAGGAAGGTCTTGAGTTGTGCAAGCTTTGCACAATTGATGCTTAGTCTAATAGGCTTGGACCTTGGAACTAAAGATAATTCTTCTGAGGTAGCCACCCAGTAGGCATCTGTTTCAAGTACATATTCTGCATAACTCATGGCCCCCACTCCCCCCACCACCCCACATTACTCAACTCCTTAAGATAAGCTTTAGTTTTTAAATTTCACTTGTAATTTTTGAAAGAACTTCTGATAGCCTCTTAGGAAAGAAGAAACCTACATATTTTAACAAAGCTTGATGGGATATAATTTTGTTTTATAAAAAAAATTAATAAATATAATTGTATTAGTCTGTTTTCAAGTTGCTGATAAAGACATACCTGAGACTGGGAAATTTACAAAAAAAGAGTTTAATAGACATCCACATGGCTGGGAAGCCTCCCAATCATGGCACTAGGGACACAGCTTGTGCAGGGAAAATCCCCCTTATAGAACCATCAGATCTTGTCAGACTTAGTCACCATAACAAGAACAGCATGGGAAAGACCTGCCCCCATGATTCAGTTACCTCCCACTGGGTCTCTCTTACAACATGTAGGAATTCAAGATGAGATTTGAGTGGGGACATAGCCAAACCATATCAATCAGACTTTGAGTTAAAATAACACATTTTATCTAATTTTTTTTTTTTGAGACTAAGTCTTACTCTGTTGCCCAGGCTGGAGTGCAGTGGTGTGGTCTTGGCTCACTGCAACCTCCGCCTCAAGGGTTTAAGCGATTCTCTTGCCTCAGCCTCCTGAACAGCTAGGATTACAGGTGCTTGCAACCATGTATGGCTAATTTCTTGTATTTTTAGTAGAGACAGGGTTTCACCATGTTGGCCAGGCTGGTCTCAAACTCCTGACCTCGTGACCCACCCACCTTGGCCTCCCAAACTGCTGGGATTACAGAAGTGAGCCACCATGCCCAGCCATATTATCTAATTTTTATTCTTGATTACATATCAGAAAGAATTATCTTGTTAGCTCCCCTTTTCTCCCCATTCCACCACCTCTGCCATACCCATTCCCAATACAAATAGAACACATTAATTTTGTAATCAAATAGATCTCCAGTCTGATAGAATAGGCAAAGTCATCTGTTGAGAGTGAGTGGCCCAGTGGTTAAGTAGTAGACTTTAGGAGTGTTAAATAAAGGCAGGAACTAGCTATTCGGCTTGCTTGGGGTATCAAGGTCTGGATGGGGTTGAGGAGTACAGATTTCTAATGGACCATGACATCTTCATGGGCAATAGCATCATTCTGCATGTATGTATCATGTTTCTTGGGGAACAGTGTAATCTAGGAGCAGAGAAGGAGGTAAAATAGGTGAATTAATCTAAGGTTAGAATTTTAGAATTATTCTAAGGTTAGATAGGTTCAAAGGAAGAGGGGTGGTGGGGTAGCAGCTTTTGCTCAGAGGGTGGCAGCAGAAGTGAAAGACAAGAGTCCTAAGCCATGCAAAGAAGGCAATGAAGATTTGAGAACAGGGCTGTATGAGCTTCCTTGCAGTTTTGTTTATGGAAGTATAGTTAGAACTGCCTCAGTAATAGCAGACTGCCTCAGTAATGGCAACCTGCCTCGGTAGTGGTAGACTGCCTCAGTAATGGTGGACATCCTTCCCGCCACAGAGCTGGATTATCCAGGGTCTAGCTGCGCTTGCTGTGAAACTGTCAGTCTGGAGTGTTTCAGATTGCTGGTCTTTGTGGGGTGGGACCCGCCAAATCAGATCACCTGGCTCCCTCTCCTGCCCCCTTTTTTTCAGTTGAATTGGCGACTGTGTCTCCCAGGCATTCCAGGTGCCAGTTGAAACAGCTGCCCAGATTTATGTGAGTTTTTGTGTAGAGACCCACTGTGCTGGCTGAAACAGCCATGCTGGAAACTTGTGGCACTTTTCAGCCAGGAATCTCCTGGTCTGTGGGCAGTAATTCGTTTGGAAATGTGGTGATCACTCGCCCTCTGCATTGTTCTTGCTGGGAACTGTACTCTGTTCCTATTAGGCCATCTTGGATCCCGGGCCGAAGATCATTTCTAATATAGTTATCAGACCTTTTAAAGAAATAGCAACATTTGTTTAAGGCCCGTTATATCAGTTGCCATCTGATTGATTGATGGGTATTGGCTGATTTGGTTTTGTTTGCAGAAATATAGGTATATTAATTTTCTATTGCTGCTCTAACAAATTACCGCAAATGGGGCCTTAAAACAGCATGAATGTATTATCATACAATTCTGGATGTCAGGTGTCCCAGGTGGGTTTCACTGGGCTGAAGTCAAGATGTTTGTAGGACCTTGCACACTGGAAATTCTGTGGGAATCCATTTCCTTGACTTTTTTGGCTCCTAGACATGCATTCCTTGCATTTCTTGGCTCATGGAACTTACCTCCATCTTCAAATAGAAGTGTAGCATCTTCAAGAATCCCCTTTCTCACTGACCTCCCACCTACCTCTTATAAAGACACTATGATTACAGTGGGCCCCCCTAGGTAATCCAAAATAATCTCCCCATCTCAAGATTCTTAATCACATCTGTTAAACTTCTTTTGTCACATAAAGTGAAATATCTGCAGATTTCAGGGATTAGGAATTGGATATTTTTGGGGAGGTGATTATTCAGCCTACCTCTTTAGGTATTCTGCTGATTCATTAGGTAGGAATGAAATTTTGCCCTAATTTTGAAACGTGAGATCTGGGACATTTGGACATATAAAATAATATGGATTAAGGGATAAATTAAAATTATTCATGATTTATTTCTAGTCATTATTATTTTATTACTCCACATTTCGTAAATATATAAAAACTTTTATTGAAGTGTGAGGGTAATATGTCTCATTAATATTTCATTCATTTGGCAAGTATTCATTGAATGCCTGGCATTGAGCCCCAGAGTACACAACCAAGTATAAGATATGACAGTTGCTTTTATAACGCTTCAATTTTATGAGGCAGAAGAAGTAAATATATAATTTTACTACAGTGTGATAAAAGTGATGAGAGGTATAATCACAGGTGTTAAGGCAAAATATAGGAGCAACATCCACCCAAATTGACCAAAGTGGGAAAGAAAATGCATCCCAGATAGATCCATCCGGATTCAACTAAAGCAGCAGAACTAGGGATTTGATCTTATGAATTGTGGGAGCAGGAGTAGTCTAGTCTCTGAAGTCTATCATCTTCACAGCTGATCCTGGAACTTGAAATATGCAGGGCAGGAATTTGAGAGGGAAGGTGTATATGAAATAGGAAGAGCAAGGACAAGGTAGAACCCACAAGCTCAAGACTGTGTCCATCTCTTACTGCTTCCAGTATTGAAGTCAGTGATGTAGGTATTTTGCAAGAGAAGTTGGTATCCTTGTCAATAAAACTAAACTCACCTGGCCCAGAGGTCAGAGAAGCTGGAGGTGAATGTAGGGGAAGCTGGAGTGGCTGCCATACAATATTAGAAAGGTGACCCAGCAAATAAAGGAAAACATACTTGAACTGCAAGTTGACACATTGCAAATTCATATGCCACTACATCTGAATCAACAGAGAAAAAGTGCTTTCATCTAACTGTAAGGAGTTTACTGTGGCTAGAATGGCTTATGCTCTGGTGGGGCATGGGGATCTGGAGAAGGTAAGGTGGGAGGAGTGAAGGATAAGCCTGAGCCTTTAGTTGATCAAGATCGTTGGAGAGGTTTTATAATTCTGATGGCAATGGGAGTACTGACTATGACAGACTGTCCAATCTTTCTTTTAAAAAGCTCAAACCCATTAGCATAGAGTAATCTTCCCTTGGGCATCAGATCTCCTCATTCTTCTTTCCTCCTCATAGTTGTGCCCACAAACTCCTCAACTTTCCCTTACACTCTGATTGCTCAATGCCTTTATCTAGAATACATTTCCTTCTCCCTGTTCTCTTCTTCAGGTTCCATATCTATTTTGTTAACACTGCCCTAGGCAGTATTCTTCCCAGCAGGATAGAAATGACCACACTATGTGTTACTAGACTATGGCCATCATGAGGTCAGGAACATTTTCTATATTATCCAAATGTCCCCACTGCCTAGCACAGTATCTGGCACTTAGAAGGTGCTCAGTAGATGCTTACTGACGGAATCAAGTACCAAGAGCTTCTTCTCTTTTCTTGTGTTATTTTCAATTGTCTTAGTGGGTTTGATGAAATAGGACTTCTGACCACTGTCAGACATAGAAAGGCACTAGGTTTCTCAGATTTCTATATTTGAATAGAGAATTAAGAAGAGACAGTAAATGCCTCCAGCATTTTTCAGAAAAGCATCTACAAACAGACTCAAGTTGTCAGGAGGGAAAGAAAAATCATTTTTCTTCTGAGATCGGCTCCAAGGCATTGTTGAACTTTTAATTGTTTACCAAAGTGTCATCATTCTCTTCTCTAAGGCCTTTCTTATCATTCTTGATATATTCACTGTCTGTAGGACTGTCTCTCTGGCGATTGGGTGAGTTATAATTATAAAGAGGCTTCAATTTTTTGATGTAGAAGAATTTCAACAATTTTTGGAAGTTTTGTTTAAGAGTTGCAGAGGTCAGTTTATGGGCTATTTTCTTAAAAATACTGTGGGTTATTTTAGCCAACTCTTTGATCACAGGGTCTTCATCTCGGAGCAGTCGTTCAATAACTGTAATATCAAAAGAGACTTTAGTTCAAGACATCTGTTTCTTAGACGCCATGAAGCTTTAATACTAAACAGCCCTGCCACCTTTCGCAGAGTCCCCACTTTTCTCCATCTCTCCTCTTTATTCCCTCTGCATTTTGTAACTTTTCCTGATAGCATTCAGGTAGTTTTATCACCTATTCCCATCAGACTCCATTAAAAAAATGGGAATAGTCACTAAAAATACCAAGAGCCTTTTATGTGCTGAGCATTCTGCTAGATAATATAAGCATATATTCATGTATTTAGGAAGAGGTTCATATTGGTCATAATAATGAAAAAGTTAAAATCAGCCTAAATTTTCATTAATAGGGAAGTGCTTAAGTTAGGAATAAACAATGAAATGCTACATACATATTAATATGATGATGTAGGCCCATATTTCTTGGCATAGAAAGATGTTTATGTTATAAAGGCAAGTGAAAAAAGCTATATAACAGTTAAAATAGTTAAAAAATAAATATATAATAGCTTTTATTATTTAAAAATATCCGGGATAAGACATATACCAAAATGCTACTATCATTATATCCAGGTAGTGGACTGTGAGAAATTGCTATTTTATTTCTTGATAAAAGAAATAGAAACAAAGGGGGAGATTTAGAAAGCACAGAGATGAGAAGGAGCAGAAGGAGGAGGAGGAGTGAAAGAAGAAAATGACTGTAAAAAAGATGGAAAATTCTAGTGTTTGGCATTTAGCAGGTAGTCAAATATGTGTTGAATGAATGAGTGAGTGAATGAATGAATCAATGAATAAGGAAGGAACGTAATGATGTGTAAATGTAGGTCCATAAATTACAATAAATATACCACTCTGGTGGGGTATGTCCATAATGGGGGAGGCTATGCATAGGCGAGGAGAGAAGGTATCTGGTAAATCTCTATACCTGCAGCTCGGTATTGCTGTGAACCTGAAACTGTTCTAAAAAAATAGTCTATTAAGTAAAAGGAAGGAAGGCAGCCAACTTGTTTTTATAACTCACCTATTTATAATTCTGACCCTGATGGGGCAATAGAGGCTAAGAGAGATTCCTAAGATCCAAACATTTTGATAGACTAATATTACCCTTCTTTAATTCCTTCCCCTGCAAATGTATTGTACATTGCTATTCACTAAAATGCGAATTCTCTGAGGGAAGAGACTTTGCTTTATTTGCAGCTCTGTCCCTAGCAGTAAATAGTGCTGTCAAATAAGAGATGCTAAAAAATGTGTTAGATGAATGAGTAAATGGATTTTCAAGTTTCTGAAGTTCCTAAGGTTTCTAGGATGATAGTTCTCAGGCAATGAGGAGAACAAATGGAGAGATTGAAACGGGGAAAAAGAAGAAGAGGAAATAGAATAGAAACAGAAAAAAAAAAAAACAAACATGCCTCTTAACCCAGTCCTTTAATTGATTCTTCCATAATTATCCAACCACTACTACCCCTCTCTTCCTATCTGGCCTGGCATCTTTATAAAACTCACATGTGACTAGAATCACAAATAGTTAATGCAATTAGACGTATGCATAAAGATTTTGTTATAACCTCAATACTCACCATCAAGCATAACTTCAATTTCATCTCTATGCAGTAAATGACCACCTGATTTTGCCAAATATCCTATGCACATAATAAAAATTAAAGTTAGTGCAATATGCATTTTGAAAATACATTCTCTGATGTTATCTGTCTGGCTTCTTTGCTTTTTTCAAAGCAAAGCATCTCTAGATTATTCTTGAGTCATCTTTTATACTGTCAATTATTGTCTCATAAAATTTTTTATTGAAAGATATGTGAGAGTATAAATGTACACAAATCATATTGGGCAGCTCAATAAATGACCACAAAAGGAACACACCAGGGCTACCACTTAGGTTATTCAATAGGGTATTAGCAGCATCCTGGAAGCCTCCTTCAAGCCTCTTCCAGTCTCCTCCTCCACCTTTCAGAATACATTCTTTTGTGTCTACCTTCTTTTGCTTCACATTACATTTTGAGATCCATCCATATTCTCACATGTAGTAATAGCTTGTTCATTTCCATTGCCGCATGGCAGAGGCTAGGAAATAAAGTTTTCTTGAGATGCAGCCATTCACACTGTCTCATTTGTTTACATATCTATGGCTGTTTTCACCCTACCACAGCAGAGTTGAGAAGTTGCAACGGAGACTATATGGCACTCAAAGTCTAAAATATTTACCATTAGGTCTTTAGCAGAAGGAGTTTGCTGAATCTGCTATACACAAGTCCATCTTATGAATGCAGCATTTTAAAAATCCATTCTGATGGACATTTGTGTTTTTTCCAGTTTGGGGCCATTATGAATAATGAAGTTATGGGCATTCTTGTACATGAAATTTGGCATGTACAACAGTATAACTGCTGCTTTGTATATAACTAGGAGTGGATTTAGTGGATATACTTATGTTCAGCTTCAGTGGTTACTGCTAAACAGTTATCCAAAAGTGGCTGTACCAATTTTCACTCCAACCAATCAGGTGCTAACATTTTCATTGTTCTATGTCCTCTGAACAGTTTATACTGTTAAAATTTTTTCTTTACGTCATCCTCATGGTTTTGGTGATAATATCACATTGTAATTTTAATTTTCATTTTTTGTTGTTGATTAGTAAGATCATTTGTGTATTTATTGGCTATTTGGATGTCTTCTTTTGTGAAATGCTTATTCAGGTTATATATTGCTTGTTTATATATTGAATTATTCCTTTCTTAGTTACTTGTAGACATTTTAAAGTTCTGAATATTAATATTTTAAAATGGTGCATGTCTCACAATATCTTCTTTTATCTCATGGCTAAACTTTTACATTTGCATTGGTTTTTTCATTAATAGAAATCCCTAATCTCAATGTACCTTAATGCATCATCTTTACATTTATGATTAGTGAATTTTGGGGTCCTGTTTAAAAAAATCTTTGCTTGTCTCAAGTCATAAAGATATTCTCCTATATTTACTTCTGGAAGCTTTACTATTTTACCTTTTATGCTTATATCTGTCATTCAACTGGAGTTACACAGCATGAAGTTGGGGTCAAGATATTTTTATATACCTGTGTAATTGATCCTGCACCATTAAGAGAAAACTTGTTCTGGGCCAGGCGCGGTGGCTCAAGCCTGTAATCCCAGCACTTTGGGAGGCCGAGGCGGGTGGATCACAAGGTCAAGAGATCGAGACCATCCTGGTCAACACGGTGAAACCCCGTCTCTACTAAAAATACAAAAAAATTAGCTGGGCATGGTGGCGCGTGCCTGTAATCCCAGCTACTCAGGAGGCTGAGGCAGGAGAATTGCCTGAACCCAGGAGGTGGAGGTTGCGGTGAGCCGAGGTGGCGCCATTGCACTCCAGCCTGGGTAACAAGAGCGAAACTCCATCCCCAAAAAAACAAAAACAAAAACAAAAACAACAACAACAAAAAAAGAGAAAACTTGTTCTTACCTTACTGCTTGGCAGTGTCACCTAGATCATAAATTGTGTGTGGTCAATGTCTTGACTCCATTCTGTCTGTCTATCATCGTGTCACTACTACATGGCCTTACTGTGTAATGCATCTTGATATCCCATGGTATAAATCTTTCAACTCTAGTTCCTCTTTAAATTATCTTGGTTATTCTCAAACACTTAAATTTTAATATAAAGTTTGTCATCAGCTTGTCACATTTCACACACACACTCAAAACCCCTAGTGAGATTTTGTTTGGGAATACATTGAATCTACATAGGTCAATTTGGGAAAAACTGACATTATCATAATGTTTAATCTTTTAACCAGTGAACATAAAATATCCCTGTATGGAAGTCTCTTAAAAATTTTCTGTATGTTTTCCAGTTTTCTGTGTATTCATTTTATGCATTATTTCTTAGTTTTATTTTAAGGTATTTGATAATTTTTGGTGCTATTTTATTGGCTTTTTTAAATTTAAATTTTTTATTTCAATAGGCTTTGGAGGAAGAGGTGGTATTTGGTTACATGGATATAATGTCATGCTGTATAACTCCAGTTGGTTGATAGATATAAGCATAAAAGTTCCTTTAGTGGTGATTTCTGAGATTTTGGTGTACTCATCATCTGAGCAGTGTACACTGTACCCAATATGTAGTCTTTTTTTTTTAAATTGTAGAGATAAGTTTATTTTGTTTGTTTTTTAAAATATGTTGAGTACATATATAACTTTTTCCTTTTTTTAAATAAATTTTTTGCACCTATTGACCCATCCTCTAAGTTCCTTTCCCTTACCTCCGATCCCCCAACAGGCCCTGGTATGTGTTGTTCCCCGCCCCCCCCACCCCATGTCCATGTGTTCTCATTGTTCAGCTCCCACTTATGAGTGAGAACATGCGGTGTTTGATTTTCCTGTTCCTGTGTTAGTTTGCTGAGGATGCTGGCTTCTAGCTTCACCCATGTCCCTGCAAAGGACATGATCTCATTTCTTTTTATGGCTTCACAGTATTCCATGGTGCATATGTACCACATTTTCTTTATCCAGTCTATCATTGATGGGCATTTGGGTTGGTTCCATGACTTTGCTATTATAAATAGTGCTGCAGTAAGCATACATGTGCATGTGTCGTTATAGGAAAATGATTTGTATTCCTTTGGGTATATACCCTGTAATGGGATTGCTAGGTAAAATGGTATTTCTGGTTCTAGATCCTTGAGGAATTGTCATACTGTCTTCCACAGTGGTTGAATTAATTTACATTCCCACCAACAGTGTAAAAGCATTCCTATTTCTCCATAGCCTCACCAGCATCTACTGTTTCTTGACTTTTTAATAATCACCGTTCTGACTGGTGTGAAATGGCATGGCATCTCATTGTGGTTTTGATTTGCATTTCTCTAATGATCAGTAATGTTAAGCTTTTTTTAAAAAAATACATTTGTTGTCTTCTTTTGAGATGTGTCTATTCATATCCTTTGCCCACTTTTTGATGGGGTTGTTTTTTTTTCTTGTAAATTTGTTTAAGATCCTTGTAGATTCTGGATATTAGATCTTTCTCAGATGAATAGATTACAAAAATTTCCCCTCATTCTGTAGGTTATCTGTTGCAGAAGCTCTTTAGTTTAATTAGATCCCCATTTGTCAATTTTGACTTTTGTTGTACTTTTAGATTTTTTTTTTTTTTTTTTTTTTTTTTT